ACCTGTAACAGAGACAGGTGTACAAAATATCTACCTGTAACAGAGACAGGTGTACAAAATATCTACATGTAACAGAGACAGGTGTACAAAATATCTACCTGTAACAGAGACAGGTGTACAAAATATCTACATGTAACAGAGACAGGTGTAAAAAAAATATCTACCTGTAACAGAGACAGGTGTACAAAATATCTACCTGTAACAGAGAGACAGGTGTACAAAATCTTTCTGTAACAGAGACAGGTGTACAAAATATCTACCTGTAACGGAGACAGGTGTACAAAATAATATCTACCTGTAACAGAAACAGGTGTACAAAATAACAGAGACAGGTGTTCAAAATCTACCTGTAACAGAGACAGGTGTACCAAATATCTACATGTAACAGAGACAGGTGTACAAAATCTACCTGTAACAGAGACAGGTGTACAAAATATCTACCTGTAACAGAGACAGGTGTACAAAATATCTACCTGTAACAGAGACAGGTGTTCAAAACGATGTCTACGTGTATTGGACAGGTGTACAATATCCATAAAGTGACAACAGGTGCCGGCACCTAGCAATATTGAAATATAACATTAAGAAATCACAATATGTCAACATTGTCTGTTTTGTTTTAATCAAATTTTGGAAATCTTCAGGAATTTGAACAATTAGAAATATTGGAATGTAACATTCTGGAATCTGTTATGTCACAACAGTGTCTGGTGTTTTAATTTGATTTTAGAAATCTTCTGGAATTTGAACAATTAGCAATATTAGAATATGATATTCTGGAATTGCATTATGTCAACATTATTTGGTGTTGAGATTTTATGGAGAAAGTGTATGAACCTACAACAAGAAGGAGTATCAGAAAATACATTATCCTGAAATGTGAACAACTAGCATTCAGGAATTATTCAAAGTACATGTAACCTAAGTGAGGTATTCATTGTCTGTTAGACTGGACATTAAAAATCCTGTGGGTGTCTGTCGCATCACACGTTAAGTAGAATAAGGCTAGTTTGTATGTATAGGATACCGTAGTAGTAGGTAAGGAATTTTGAGACATTTCCATGTTGTTTTTTCCGCTATATAGAATGCCAAGAGTTTTTTCCATTCTTCGTTTAGTAAAATTAGCTAGGCTCCAGTTTTTTAAAAACTAAATGTATGGTTATAAATTGTGTCACCCTTCTGAATAAAAGGGAGCCGATTAGTATTTAAAAAGGTACTAATTCTAAATAACTTGCAAATATGTGGTTCACCCCAAATCAAATATCAAGTAAATGCATTCTCTATCAAAATCTTGTTAAATTTGTTTTCAAAACTTGCAGTTTTCACCTTTGTCACACACAGTGGGTCAGAAGTATGTGTTCTGGTCGGCACAATCTGCACCACAATGTCAAAAGTAAAAATATCTTATATCATTTAAAGTCTTTTTTTAATGTCATTTTTTTTCACAAGACGTTCAAAGTGCGCCGTACTAGGGTCACAAGATTGTGACAATTTATCAGGTCAAAGGTCAAAAGACGTCCAAAGTGAACTGTATTTAGGTCACAAGATTGTGACCTTTTATTAGGCCAAATAAATGCAAATTGATAATCACCAGTACATTTATGCATACGAAACTAATTATTAGTACCGTATTCAGCAGTACACTGTAATAAAGGAGCTCCGCAGTCTTCTAAAACTTCTATCACTGTGTATGGTTATAGATGTAGGTTATCACTGTGTATGGTTGTAGATGTAGGTTTTCACTGTGTATGGTTGTTGATGTTGGAGTTGATTGTAATGGCTTTGAAGTTGGGTGTAGATCCTTTGTAATCTTCCAAAGTAGCGTATCAGCATGTTATTTGTCTTTTTTTTTTCTCTTGGATCAAATCAAATTACTTTGCTTATGTCTTTTTGCCAGAGAATGATCCAGGAATGCAGAGAGCGAAAGTGCTCGTAACCCCTGTACATGGAGGACTTGTTTTTGTTGACATAAGCTAATGAAATAGTTATTTTATTCAAGATTCTAATAGAAAGACATGCATACAAAAAGATTACGGTTGAGATGATCAATAAAATACTATCACAGTATATCGTTTGAGACAGTCACAGATGTCTAGTTGTCGGATTTTGACATCATGTTTCTCCAAGAACGAAAATGAGTGTTGAAAAATTGTACTGACAATTGCACTCGATATCTCTAATGGTAACCTGAACAGCCTCGTCAAGGGCATAGTCATCCTTGCTGGACAGAGTGAAAACTAAATTCATTTTTCGATAAAGCTAAATGGAAATATATCTGTGGTCTGTACAAACACAACTATTCGGTTGAATGTTCATGATAGAATAAAGTCTGGATTTAACATATTTAAAGGTCGCTTTCCAATGTCAGCTGCAAATGACGCCATGGTTGCGTATAGAGACGGTGCTATGATAGAATCAGACCGAGTCCGTGGACAGGATATTGAAGTTTTGTTCTGAATAGATACCGCTTTACAAACTTATCTTAATCAAACCATACGCAAAATATTTTATGCACATTTGATATTTTTCTTCGTGTCCAGACTTTGCTTAAAATTGACATAAAAATGTTTTTGAAATAAAAAATTTGATGTTAAGTTTAGTAGGTATTTACATACAAGATATTTAGACAAATTGTATATTACTTATGCAAGATTACTTACCGGTACATACCGGTACATAAAACGTGTTTTATGACTTCTTGTAAATACTTGTTTTATATTGATATTTTGTAATTCAGGTTATCTAGAGTGGCAGGTAGTTTGTCATCTGTATTCATATCAGTCATAATAAGCATACCATTAGCAGGTACCATTTTCATAAAAAATTTGTTTACGAGCCTAAATTTTGAATCCTTTAGGGCGACTGATGAAAATAGAAAAATGATAGAGAGAAATCTCAAAATCCAGACGAGTGGTTTTCTAGCCCTGAAATTCAATTTCATAATTTTCGTATCTGATGAACGTGGTCATAAGTTCATGTGTATATTCTGAACTGTGCAACCATTCAAAGAGTCCTGCTCAGGTCTCACTCTCATGTCTGCTGTTATTATTAGCAATCTCAGTGTCAACGAACAGAACAAAAAATGAGGTTGATTGAATTTGATTTTGTCCTTTATTGAAGCATAATCCAATTTATGGTTATTATTTTTGTCCTGGTTTTAGGTTTAAATATTTTTAGCAAACAATAAAATGTTTAGCAACATCATTATTTTAATAGTATTCTGAATCAACAAAACCAAATGCCCAATGTGGGCAGTATAATGTTCTGAGTCTCCCGAGACCTATAATCCGGATATCAAATCTCTGCTGTAACCGTTTTACGATTCTCGAGATTATTCTTTATGTACAACTTCCGGTTATGCCGTAAACATTGGAATCTGACGTTTCAGATGCTGTATTGAAAATGTTTCCTACGTTCTGAGCTGGCTTGGGTAATATCAACAAGGTAATGGGGTGTAGAAGAAATTTTTGAAGAGCGTAGGTTTTTCTTTCACAAATGGATTTTATTTTAGTGTTAGAATCATCCATTTCTCAGTCCGACTGCATTGAAATATCTAATGTACCGCCCAGCTCGAGTGCTCTTCTTTTTAGCTCAATTAGTTGACTGTAACACTAGTAAGTCAGAGGTCCATCTGTTCTAATATTTGACGGATACTTGATTTTATTTAGAGCAGTCATAATCCAAAGTCAGACGTCCAGTAGAGGCGTTGGAATAAGTAATGTACTACTCAGCTGGAGAGAAATATTTTCTTTAGCTCAATTGGATGAATGTAACACTATAAAGTCAGAGGACCAAGGTTCGAATCATTGCAATGAATCATGGCCTCTTTTACATACTTGAGGTAAAGTAACTTCTTTGTATTCTAATATTTGAAGGATACTTGATTTTATTTGGAGCAGTCATAATCCAAAGTCAGACGTCCAGTAGAGGCGTTGGAATAAGTAATGTACTACTCAGCTGGAGAGAGATATTTTCTTTATTTGAATGTAACACTAGTAAGTCAGAGGACCAAGGTTCGAATCTAGTTGGTGGCAATGAATCATGACCACCTCTTTACATACTTGAGATAAAGTAACTTCCTTATATTCTAATATTTCAAGGATACTTTATTTGAAGCATTCCTAATTTAAATCCTTTAGAACCATGTTTCTGACAACTACTGGGGTCAATAGGGCTCATTTTCTTGGCTGTTTTATTAAAGTTTCTTTTAATAGACATTTGTCACCACATTCTAATAGATTAGATGTCTGAAACTCTGTCCTCTGAAACAAATTATGACAGGATATTGACAATGGTCACATGGCTCTCTTTGGAAGGTAAGGACATGCATGGAACACCTTCTAAATAAATAGTAGCTTCTGTGTGTACCTTTTCCTACATGTTAAGTAAGCAAAAAAAATGAATAGTATAAAAATGTACAGTTTTTGTAATTCAACAGAATTTATTATGCTCCCCAAAGGGAAAGCATATAGTTGACGTCTGTCCATCCTTCATAATTTCGTCCGGAACATTACACAATAACTATAAGTGGTATCAGCATAAAACTTCATAGGTAGATAGATCTCAATGAGTAGGAGGGCAGTGCACAAGAACCATAAATCTCTTGTTAACCTTTGTTGCTTGAGTGAAATGGAAGAAAATCCAAGGAAAAGAAGTGTGACATGTGACAAAAGGGTTCTGTTAATGTGAACAACTTTAATCAATTGAACCACTAATACTTATGGAGATAGGTGTGAAGTGAATATGATATAAAGATTTAGAAATACAGTGATGAAGTGGGATTTGCTTATTTTAGATAGATCAAGGATGGTATGTGAAGTTACATTGTTAGTTACTGTGTTGAGCTTGTGATAAAAATGTATACAGATTCGCAATGCCTTGTTTATTTTGGCATGATTTACTTTAAATTATTTAATAATACCCCAAAAAAATCATTATTTACAGCACAAAAATTTGCCCAAGATGAACACCTAACAACAGCAGCTCTACCTGACTTAAACATGTTCCATGGTGCTCATCTCGGTATGAGGACTAGGGGACCTCATCGTTCTTCCTTTCATTCCTTTTTTGGATCAGTATACACAGGAAACAAGCAACCATTCCGTAGAGGGATAATGTTTGTTTTTATAGCTGGTGTACTGCTACTCACAGGAGGCATTCTGACATGGTTGGGTAAGTTCTTCAAATCACATCAAATGCAGGATATATAACAGTTTTCTGTGTAATTTCATACATGTTACGTAAGTATGAAAGAATATCTATATTTTTAAGAGTGAGAATTACAAGTATTTCATTTTCTTTTTATTAGTTTTTAAAAGAAAAAAAAATACAGTCAAACTTCTATGAATCAAACTTTGATAATTCAAATTTCTTGATTTATGGAAGTTTTTGTCTTGTCCCAAATTTTATTCCTATATATTACTACCAACTTAACACATTATGAATCAAAGTTTTATAAATCAAACTTTTGAATTATCAAAGTTTTTCACGGACTGTAAGCAATGATAACACAGTCATTGATGCCTCCTGATTTGTACAAAATATTTACCTGTACTCTACAGGTCTTGTTTCAAAACAAGGCTGAACCAATGTTTGAATTCAGTTATCATTTCAAACATTCTGATTATCTTACATGCTTCAATGAACCCATCCTAGTAATAAGGCTTCCCATATGAATATATATAATATATATATATCGCTGTTCATTGAAATTACAAACCAATGGTATTTAATCCTTGTAACAAAGTCACCCTCTGACTTTGAGAAGCCAAGCAGTTACATTCATTCAATATCTCATGATTTAAAATTTTGAATAACTATGATATTGATATTGTAAATAGCATAATCATTGATAGTTTATTGGCTGGTTTATGACTCCATGAACAGTCAGGCTCATTTCCTTAGGTAGGATCTACTTATAGTAATTGTTGATACCTCACTGAAAAAAGTGCGAGAGGTCCATTGCAAACCATCCAAAGAGAACAGGATACAGTGTCTTGACCAAGGACACAACCACAGCAGCACAGAATGGTCCTTTTCTCAAGTTACCTGTGAATCATAAACCGCCATGAGAGTAAACATGGAAAAGTTACATTTCTTATTGCTAGTGGTAAAACATGAAAACATTTCAGTTTATTTCCCTTTCTTTTAATGATTTCAGGATACAGCAATGTGTTTGGAAACAGTCAGTTCTCAACTATGGGGCCTTTACTAATTGCTCTGGCCCTGCTGATGTTTCTAATTGCTGTTCGACAGTTCATTCTGGCTAAGAAACAGACCTTGCGTAACAGGCAAAGACTAGAGGTAAAACTGACTAATAGTCATGTGTATTGTGGTTGAATATCCTTATACACTGTATCTAATATTTAAGAACTCTTTCACATACTTTTTCGGAACAAGTTTTTCATGACAACATTCAGTGTACTTCCTTTTTTTGGGGGAGCATTTATGTTGGTAGGTTTACTGGTATTTTATCAGACTGGCACTTTGGTTCTACTCTCATATATACCAGGTATAAGAATAAAAGCAATATAACATTGCCTGCTCATCCAAAGTTTGATAATGTACTTGTGTAAAAATTAATTATCAGATATATTTTAGTATACACTGATTTTGTAAGATTAATAGATAAATTCTTTTAGTAACTTGCTAACTAAGGAGAAGATGAGAGTGAAAAGCAGTTCCTAATAATGAGTGTAAATCTTGAACGATTTTAAAATGTTGGTTCTTAATTTAAAAGCAATTAGCTGGTGGAACTGTAGCAGCAGTGGTAATCAACACTGATGAAACAGAAGATACAGTCACGGTCATAATGGACACCATCGACAACTCCCCAGAGGCCATCAGGTATGTATCCTACATAACTACTCCTTAGATGATGTCAAGTATGTATGTAAAACAGGGGAGATAATCCTACACCAGTCAATCTCTCCTAAAGTTCATCAGAGGCTGTCATTTATGTTTCACATACATAGGAATTGACCATACACAATTCCAAACTTTCCAAAAGTTTGTTAATTACATGTGACAGGTGACTTTAGCTGCATTAGTAAAAGGCACAGGGATTGGAAGTTTTGTACAAAGGAATCTGCTAATAAAAAAAGCCTGATGGTAAGAGACATAATTCATCACTTCTTCAATTCTGCTGCCACTGAATAGAATTTGAAAAAAAAAGCAGATGTTGTTTAACTGTTAGAATATTCTTCCTTATCTTCCTTAGCCCCAAAATTCATTCAAGTTCAATTCTTGGCAAGCATGATGAAATTCCCTTTTATAGGTCACCTGAGCCGAAGGCTCATGCTGACCTATTGCCCTCATGATTTGCCTGTCGTCGTGCGTCGTTAACTTTTCACATATTCGACTTCTTCTCAAGAAGCACTGAATGGATTTTGACCAAACTTGGCACAAAGCATCCCCATGGGAAGCCACTTCAAGTTTGCAAAGAAAAAGGGCGTGGCTCCAATAGGGGCCCCAGGAGAGGGAAAAAAGGGGTAAAATTAGGTAAATCTTTAAAAATCTTCTTCTCATGAACCAATAGTCAGATTAAGTTCATATTTGATATTTAGGGTCCTTATGGCAAGGTCTGCAAAGTTTGCGAATAACAAAAAAAATTGGGTCAAAAACGGTCCCACTAGGGGGCGCTCAAAAGGGTCAAAAATTCAACTTTGACGGATTTCAACCAAATTTAGTAGTAAGCATCCCTTAGTGAAGGACATATGAAATTAAGTTGAAAAAAGTGATTATATCCCCTTTGGGGCCCATAAGGGGTGTAAAAGGGGCCATATGTAAAAACCTTCTTTAAATGACTTCCTCTGAAGAAGCACTAAATGGATTTTGACCAAACTTGACACAAAGCATCCCCATGGGAAGCCACTTCAAGTTTGCAAAGAAAAAGGGCGTGGCCCCAATAGGGGCCCCAGGAGGGGGAAAAAAGGGGTAAAATTAGGTAAATCTTTAAAAATCTTCTTCTCATGAACCAACAGTCAGATTAACCACTGGGTTGATCATGTCTAAACTTGAAACAAAAGTTCTTCACAAGGTCCTGGCAAGTGTTTTAACTTTTTTGGGCAATTCAAAATTCAAGATGGCCACCCTGGCCTCTGTTTGGCTAAGACCTTTTGGACTTCCTCTCAAGAACCACTGGGTGGATCATGTTCAAACTTGGTACAGATGTTTTACATACGGTCCTGCACAAGTGTTGTTACATTTTTGCAACATTTTAAAATCCCCAGATTATTGACATATATTCCTCAGGTGACCGTTAAGGCCCCTTGGGCCTCTTGTTTTTTATGCTAAGTTTATTTGAAAAATAATCCACTTATCATGCAGGCCCCCCGGAGAGAGTCAGCCCCCGTCCTACCTGGAGGCCACAGATACACCTGTGATTCCTATGGCCATCACTGCACCTGATTATCATTCAGATCCACCTCCAACATATGAAGAGGCCATAACAGACAGAGAGCATGAAATTAGAGACTCTGTTCCAGATATTAAATGATGCATTTTAAGTCAGTATCTGTCATCTTATGGGTAAATACTGAAATGATAATAATTTAGTATATATCTATTTTATAAGATTGCAAGTGATTAAAATAGGACCTGACTCTCTTTTGATGAAAGCCAAACATGAAAATATTGATATTTTTGAAATTCAATTTTCAAAGATTTCTTTTTCAAAAATTATTGATTTGTTATTCAAAGTATCTATAATGTATAGACCAAAAAGGAACCATATCTAATTGTACATATCTGTAATTCGATGTTTTGCCATCTTTTTTCTTCCAACATGTGATATATAACATTGAGATTCCTAGTTCCAAGTTTTAAATTAAGTTTAAAATTTCATTAACTTGAGTGAAATACTTGATGAAATGATGTACTTGCATTTGATAAGATAAGATTTTCTGCTTTGATAATAATGTTAATTGATTAACATCAGCAAGATTTAAGAAAAAAAACATAATATTTATTTTCACTGAAGTGTATTATATTTGCTGAACATGCTTTTATAAACATTCCTTGACTTGAGGAAATTCCATTACAATTTTCTGTCAACTTCGATGAAGATTTTTGGTTATAGAAATAAACAGAATTGTGGGAACATGTATGAAACTAGGGACTTATAAGGATATTGGGTAAATGATCTAATTATGTTAATTTCTGTTTAGATTGAAATTTTTTTTTTTTTTTTTTTTTTGACTATAAACATATCAATTTTCCTAGTATTGACCAATTAGGTATAATTACTTGTATAAGTGTATTTGACCTTAGGAAAAAGAAAAATTCAAGGATCATTATGTTAAGATGGTTATCGGTCAAAGTTAAAGGTCATTAGTCACATTCAATAACTTCATTTAGCAAACAATGATATTTATATATCTGGGAGAGGGAACAAAATGTCTTTATAACACTTCCTGGTTTTCTCAGTTTTCATTTGAGACTGTTTATTTTTGGAACTGATTGGAAGAACAAATAAGCTTAACAAGCAGTCATGTTAGATTTTTTTTTTTACATTTATAGAGGTTTCTTAAACAGTGCACCGTCCATCCCAATTTTTCTTTTTTTTTTCTGTTTTAATCAAATTTCACTTACATATACAAAATTGACACTTTTTCTCATTAATTTTACAACTGCATACATGCATACAATATGTTCAGGGATGTGCAATGATGAAAAGGAGTTGTGAAGTTTTGTTGGATACGGCTTGCATGACTTTGTATGATTGGTGGTTTGTAGAAACCTAGTTAGTTATAACTAGTTGAAGCTTAACCAGGTTAGTTGTAACTAGTTATAACTAGCTATACCGACTGGATAGTTATAATTGGGTATAGAGTACCAGTTGTACAGCTGTCAGACTAGCCTCAGTCTAGTTGTAGCAAACTAAAAAGACATAACCAGACAAGTCCCAGTCAAGTTGTAGCAAACTAAAAACACATGGCCAGACTAACCCCTGTCTAGTTGTAGCAAGTTAAAAACACATGACCAGACTAACCCCTGTCTAGTTGTAGCAAGATAAAAACACATGGCCAGGCGAACCCCTGTCTAGTTGTAGCAAGATAAAAACACATGGCCAGGCTAACCCCTGTCTAGTTGTAGCAAGATAAAAACACATGGCCAGGCTAACCCCTGTCTAGTTGTAGCAAGTTAAAAACACATGGCCAGGCTAACCCCTGTCTAGTTGTAGCAAGTTAAAAACACATGGCCGGACTAACCCCTGTCTAGTTGTAGCAAGATAAAAACACATGGCCAGGCTAACCCCTGTCTAGTTGTAGCAAGATAAAAACACATGGCCAGGCTAACCCCTGTCTAGTTGTAGCAAGATAAAAACACATGGCCAGGCTAACCCCTGTCTAGTTGTAGCAAGTTAAAAACACATGGCCAGGCTAACCCCTGTCTAGTTGTAGCAAGTTAAAACCACATGGCCGGACTAACCCCTGTCTAGTTGTAGCAAATTAAAAAAACATGACCAGACTAACCCCTGTCTAGTTGTAGCAAGTTAAAAAAACATGACCAGACTAACCCCTGTCTAGTTGTAGCAAGTTAAAAACACATGGCCAGACTAACCCCTGTCTAGTTGTAGCAAGTTAAAAACACATGGCCAGGCTAACCCCTGTCTAGTTGTAGCAAGTTAAAAACACATGACAAGGAAAAAGTAAAATATGTTGTAGTTTTTTCTAATTGTGCTGGTTATAGAATTTATAGTAATGATGGGAGAAGTGCTATAGCTAGTGATGCTCTGATCTAATGTATCATTATAAATGATCTGCCTGAAACTCATGTACTGTAATGTTTTCTGGTTTACATGACTTTGACTGTGAGAATCATGCATGCAAGAATGTTTAGAAATCCAACTCTTACCTCATCTTGTCCCTTTCTATGTTACAGACAGCATTATCACTGTTCACTTTTAACTTTTACAATGTCTGATGATATGTGTGGGTAGTATTTGTTTTAGAATTGTCTGTCTTTGTACATAAGCCGACACTTTCTTGGTACATTGTGCTCTCCGTTGCTACTTGTCAGCTATTTTGTACACGCCCAATTTCGATTTTTTTCCACCCCGAAATTACGCTTTGTGTATATCATTATATAAATTAAAGTAAATGAAATATTAGCATATCAGTGAAGGTGTTTAGTTTGTATTTTCAATGTTGATTATACAATTAAGTAGCATAATTATATTTTCTTAAATTCTAAAATCCACTTTAGAGTGGGAAGAAAGCAAGCAATAAACCTATTTGAATAAAGTATATTCTTTTACATATATTGAATATTTTCATACAAATATTAGTGATTTCTGATGAGTCAAATCAGATGACATTTACAAAAGAATTCTGTCGATGAAGTAATTAATTATTCACAAAGTTTTAACTGTTTGAAATAACCAATAATTATAAGAATATTTCGCGTCAGAAAAGACAGGTTTGTAAACAGTTTTTTACCTCCTCTGGTCTGAAGGGAAAAAAGAGCAAATTATTAAAATTGTTCTTCTTCTGAGGAAAGCCAGGTTTTTTCCTAATTTAGTCTTAAGCATCATTTGGTGAAGTGAAATCAATTTTTCATAAACAAGAGATTTCAGCAGCCTGTGATAGGAAGAGCAGAGCCCAATTGTTATTTAAAATCCTTCTTATTTTTCTGTAGGAAACTCAAAATTTTGTGATTTTGAGAATGAGATTTGTTTGGCCGTCCCAATATGAGAATTACAGCAATTCATTGAAATCTTCTACAGGAATGTCTGGGTTTTGTCTCAATTTGATCTTAGGCATCAATGATTGAAGGAGAATTCATTTTGTATAAAAAGTGAATCGTGGCCCCTTGGATGGAAAAGATGGGGTCACAATGGGGAATGGAGGAAAGAATTAAAAATTCTTTTGAAGAGATGAAGATATTTTATCCAAATTTGGTCTGAAGCATTCTAGAGTTTTATAGAAATGAGAAACAGGCCTAAATGCAGTTAGCAAATTCTTTAAATCCTTCTTTATGAATGATTTAATTTTGTCTAAATTTGGTTTAAAGCATCTCTGGGTGAAGGAAACACAGTTTTGTCTAAAGAGTGCATCTGGCCTGGCTTTGAGATAGAGGGGGAGAGGCAATAAGGGAATATTGCAATTGTTGGTAAAGGTCCAGTATTATAACTTTTTATTTATTTATTTTCCTACAAATTAGTTTTTCCCAGTCTTCATTTCCTAATACTAGTATGTGTTCAACCTTTTAGTTTTGTCTGTGATATATTTATACCCAGTATAATGCAATATAAAACCATGGATTCAGGAGATGAAACAGTGTAAACAATCTCCTTGTTTTCCTATCCTATTTGTGGCATTGAGTGTTGTTGATTAATGTATTATTAGTGAAACATGAACAGTGTAATATATTAATGAGATATTTAAGCATTTGTTGTGTATGTTTTTTGTTTGTATGTATGTATACTTTTTTGGAGTTGTAAGTACATATGTACCTGGTAGAGATCAAGACAAAGTGTTGATGAATTTTAGCATATAAAACATGCATTTATCTATTGACATACATATATTTATACCATAATAATTGGGTGAGAAGGGTGTTATTTTTGGTTTGTAGACTGTAAGTGTGTTTGAAGTGAGAAAAAAAGGGTGATACATCCACACAATAAAAATGTACATAAACTTATTCACATTTTGATTAAATTTTGATTTCATAATGACTGAATAAGTAACTCTCTGTAGGCATAATAAGTATTTTTATCTACTTAACATATTGTGCCAGTTTTAGGATTTTAAGATTGTTCAGAAAAGGAGTATTTGATTGTTTTTTTTTTATATACTTAGTCTATCCACTTGTACTAAATAATAATCGTATTGATGTGATTTTTTCCCTTTTTATGATACAATGAGAATTTTCTAAGGAAGTCAGAGTGGAAAAACGATGTATGATCCCACTGATGATTACAGTATCCTGTCTAATCCAGTAAAATGGTGAAACAAGACATGTAATGTAAACATACTTAATTTGGCTCATCAACTTCTAGTGCATAATCCCTTTGATAGATTAGCACAATGATGAATTAGCACACTGATGAATTAGCACAGTGATGAATTAGCACAGTGATGAATTAGCACATTGATGAATAAGCACATTGATGAATTAGCACATCTACTATGATATTTATAAAAACCAAGAGTCAGAAAACTGCAATTAGCACAATCATATTTCAGGGTAATATTTTCAGCATAAAAAGATTTGGAATAAGATTATCTGTGAAAATATATATTTACAGTATTTTTGATGTCCTTCCTGATCTGATCATTATGATGTATCCTACAGGTTTTCAGAATAAACCGGTCTTTCACAACAACTGAAATCCCAAAGGGTGTCAAATTGGAAAAGTTTATTCGAACGTCATGATTTGTCTTATCTGAACATTATGGTCTGTTCCATCCCACAGGGTGGTGTCGGATTAGACAAGTATGTCCGTATTCTTATTTATTGATTCCAATCATAATGATTATGATCGAAATTGTTTGTAAT